GATGCACTTTGAGAGCTCAAAATTAAGAGCTTCAACTGGGTTCGACCCATGACCTTTGCACATTGAACAAAGAAAAAACATTGACTTGTCCCTAAAGAGGGCTCAAACATCTTTTTAGTTATGATATAGAGTCTCCGTCTACATTACATTATCACTGGTGTTTTAGAATGCCAAACATTTATTATAATAATATAATGATTTATATAATTATTCCTTTGATGGAAAATCCATATAGCCTACCGTATAAATGTATGCTACTGTATAAATGAAAATTAATATTTCAAAAGTATATTTTATATTACGCTATAGAATAGGAAAATTATAATACTTTAGTCCTAATTTCTTCACTTGTAAGAAATAAACCCTTGAGCTTTTATTTTGGAGAAAAGTGTGAGCAAAGTGCACACTTTTCTTTAAATCACGCAGCACAAACAGAATGCCTAAGTCTTGTGCGGTTTAGTCTAAAACACAAAATATAATACTGAAAACACTCGACATGTCAACAAAACATAAACATAACATCTTCCTGAACGCATATCAAGCTTATTTAAAAACCTCGAAAGCATAAACACTCATTCAAAGTACCTGGAAAAGGGAGATGTAAATAACCATAAGTTCCCGCCTCCTCAGCACGAGCTGACCGATAAATCCAACACACTAATCATCTAATCATCAGCCGGTCACAGTCAAAGCCGGTGTCATTTTTGAGAGGAATGGGGAGAGGAGACGCAGTGAGCGCAGATACAGAGCGGCCAGAGAAACGACTGAACGAGAGCGACTGTAGTAAGGCGTTTGTGCAAAACTGCAGAAAAAGTGCGGGTGTTGAACCCTCTCACCGGGAAAGTGATGGGGACGAGACCACCTATGCCGAGTCCGAGTCAAGACCGAGTCTTTGAAGGGTCGAGTCCGAGTCGAGACCGAGTCTTTGAAGGGTCGAGTCCGAGACGAGTCCAAAAAAGCAGAAATCGGTCTCGAGTCCATCACTACCAGTGTGACTATATGTTGTAGAGGTTACACTGGTTTCGCAACAAAGTTGCCCTCTCTTTGATTTAGCACTGCCATTTCTGTTGTTGTGTGAGAAAAATTAAAGGAATAGTTCACCTAAAATGAAAATTAAGTCTTAATTTACTCACCCTGGTGTTGTTCTAATTCCGTATGCCTATAGAGCTGTGATATGGCAAAAAAAAATCATATGTCTGTATTTTTTGTCTGAATGGCGATTTTTTTTTTTTTATGACGAAAACACCGCATCTCAAAGGCATTAAACAGCACAAGTAACCTATCTGTCAGAGCATCTGAAGGGGCAAGCTACTTTAAACTATATTAGTTATTTTGAAGCCTTTAATACAAAGCATGTCTCATGTTTAGGACAAATTGGATTATGCATTTTCATGTAAAAGTAGGATCTCTTTTTTTCATATGCGCTCATAATATCAAAAAAATGTATTTTGATGTAAACGGTATTGCCTCATTTGTCACGAACCACACCAGGAAACACAGGAGAAGATCCAATTGCAGAAAGTATGTTTAATTAAGGAAATCCGTTACTCAAAATCCAGTCCAGGCAATAGTCGATATCATAATCCATCCAAAACAAGAACATAAACAAACACAGAAGTGGCGTGATAAATACAAGGACTCCGTGACACATACTGAAACAGACAGGGTTATATACACAAGGAAATGACAATGCTAATGGGGAACAGGCTGAGTGCAATAATCAGTGATAAGAGACAGCTGAGTGCAATGAAAAGACAAGGATCATGGGGGATGTAGTTCAAGAGTGTGATGGACACCGTGGGGAAGGAGGACATCTAGTGGTGACCCAAGGAACATAAACCAGACACTGTGACATAACCCCCCCTCTACGGAACGGCTACCAGACGCTCCAAGACGTGACAGACAAACAAGAGTCCAGGCGGGAGGTGGACTGGTGGAGGATCAGGGGGAGGGATGGGGGGCCAGGTCCATGGAGAGAAACGGGGACAGGGAGTGACAGTTCATCTGGCGGCCAGGCCGGAGACGACAGTCCCTCGGGCGGCCAGGGCGGAGACTTTCCCTCGGGTGGCCAGGGCGGAGACTTTCCCTCGGGCGGCCAGGGCGGAGACTTTCCTTCGGGCGGCCAGGGCGGAGACTTTCCCTCGGGCGGCCAGGGCGGTGAATACCCTTCAGGCGGCCAGGGTGGAAACGACAGTCCATCTGGCGGCCAGGGCGAATCAGGCAGTGCAGGCGGCCGGGACGGGACAGGTCCTTTGGACGACCAGGCCGAAGACGCCCAGGGCGAAGACGACCACTCTGGCGGCCACGGCGGAGACGACCACGGCGGAGAGGACCCCTCGGGCGGCCAGGGCGGTGAAGACCCCTCGGGCGGCCAGGGCGGTAGCTCAGGCGCAGGAACAGCAGACGCCTGCTCAGGTACAGCAGACACCGGCTCAGGTACAGCAGACACCGGCTCAGGAACAGCAGACACCGGCTCAGGAACAGCAGACACCGGCTCAGGAACAGCAGACACCGGCTCAGGAACAGCAGACACCGGCTCAGGAACAGCAGACACCGGCTCAGGAACAGCAGACACCGGCTCAGGAACAGCCACAAGAACTCTAACAGTCACAAGAACAGACACAAACACAGAAACAAACACTGGCTCCGACCCAGGAGCAGACACTGGCTCCGGCTCAGGCACTGGCTCTGGAACAGTCTCTGGCTGGGCAGACGTGATGTGATCAGTCTCTGGCTAGGCAGAGGGGAGGAGGGGGGGGGGGGGGGGGGGGAGGCGGAGTCAGACAGAGCCGAAGGTGTAGTAGAGGTGATTTTCTATGGCAAATGGTGTGGTCTGGGAATCTTTGGGAAGACAACTGGTATCAGTTGGCTATATGTCTGTTCCAATCCATTCAATGACACTGACCCACCGCTGGGTGTGTGAGAGTGTTCAAGGTTTAAGGTGTCTTTATTAGTACCCGAGGCTAAATTTGTTGTGCAGACACAGGGCTCGAATTTCGGTGCGGGATTGTGGGTGTTGTGCCGAATTTCGACCCCCTGCCAAAATATTACTCCCCTCATTGAAGTCAGTACCTGATTGCCTAATCCTAACCACATCCCTAATCCTAACCCCTCCCCCACAACTAATCCTAAACCTACCAATGCTAGGGGGGTAATAATTTGGCAGGGGTCGAAATTCGGCACAACACGGGTATTGCTCATGATTCTAATCTTTCCAGCAGGTCTTCCACTTATATTGCGGAAAATTTCCACAAACATTGATTCAGTTTAGCATGTAGGTTGTATGAGTAAATTAATCCACACAGATTATAAAATCAAATCAGTCCTTTTAAAACTTTCTCAGAGACGCAAATTTCACAAACAGTGTGAGTGTTCAGCAATGCTGCGTCTTCTCTTTCTCGTCTATCAAAATGGGTTGCACAAAGCAAGCGTCAAGCACGCTGTAGGCGGCAATACTAGAGTCTTGCGTTTCGGGAGTCGGGACAAGGCGGAATATTCACTTGGACAATCAGGTCAGCATTGCATTGTAATAAAAGTTGATAATTTTCACGTCTTTTTACATCTTACCAGTTTAAACATTAAAGCGATTTTAAACTATTCAGTACTTGCGTGCTCTTTGAGAGATGGTTTTCTCTGCACACATAGAGTGAGCTGCATCAGCTCGCGAGTAACAAAAGTTTTTTTCACGGATCATATCGTTTTAAACGGTCAAAAACATGCAAAATTATGTAACAAATCAGGTCTTGGTGTGTATCCTTGTAAACACAGTCGGTTATGTCTTAAATAAGCATAAAACCTCTGTGACAGTTTGACAGACAGTATAATGAAAACAGTAATGGATCCGTGCACTAGTTCTACCAGAGAGACTTGGAAGACGAGATGATATCACAATGACATTCATTATTAATAAATGCAGCTGTATGGCTGTATGTACTGCATATACCATGAGCACTCCAACTGACCTAGGAAACGGTTTCCATGCAAATATTTTAGCTTATTTAATATTTATTTAATGTTAAATATTTAGTTATTGTGTGTCACGTTTTTCTGTTGACTGAACCAGTGATTCCAATCATCAGTGAATTAATCATTCTTCGATTCAAGTCAATTCATTATTTTTAAATGAATTAGTCAAAACGTCTCAATCCATTCCCATTTGTTCAGACCGCTTTCTCGCAGAATCACCTGAAGCTATTTCACAGTCAGCAAAACAAACAAACATTATTGACAGAACAAACAGTTTTTTATTTTCCTATGAATATGCACTTTGACAATTTAGTTCCTTTTGCAGTTTTTGGGTTTAAAAATATTTAAAACGTGATACAATAGATACAATAATTATAAAGATAAGACGAGATACAATAATTTTGCTCTGCTGTACCGTTGCTTTCACATATCTTTTGGTCCGAAGAGTAATCAAGTTGTGCATTACAGTTAGGTTACATGAGTGTAATAGCCTGGAAATATACTATAACAGACTTCAAAGTGTACTAACACAATAATCTGTTTTAACTGTTTAATACGAACAAACTTGAAAGTTGACCATAAAAGGCTGTATAGTTTGAATAACAGTCTGAATAACAGTTAAATACGAATAAATCGATGTCGATGATGAACTTTTTTTACTTATTTTTCATTTGCAACAGGTTTTACTAACCTAGAAAAATATTAATGCAGTTGTGATAGCAGAGAGTCTTTTATTGATTAAGTCTTGATTATTTATTAAAAAGCAGGCAATATAGAATGTTTTATTATAACAACATATTTTAACATATATTTAACATATAACATATTTTATGTCATGTCATGTCATGGCCCAGCCCCTCTTTTCCACCAGATTACTAAACATATTCAGATCACTGCTTCCAGTAAATGCAGAAAGTTTATAAGAAACAGAAACATTTGAAAATGGCATTAGCATATATTAACTAAAAAGAATGACATACAAAAACTTTACTGTGATGCTTGAAATAAGTGTGTGTGTCATATTCATTCAAAAGTCAAGGTGTTGAATCATTAATGCCACAAACATAAGTGCATATAAGAATCTTAAATGCATTCTGGAAACAAGGGTAGAAAAATCCATAAATCAAGGGGTTACAAGTGGAGTTAAAATATGCAAACCAAATTACAACATCAAAAACATCAGCTGGGGTTAAATAATTGTAAAAAGGGTCGAGAGCAGTAACAGTAAAAAAAGGCAGCCAGCAGAGATAAAAAACACCCATAACAATGGCCAGAGTTTTCGCTGCTTTTCCTTCTCTTTGTGCAGAGCTTTGGCTCTTCAACCCTCCTGCTGTCACCACAGTCACTCTTTCTGACATAACCTTTGCATGTCTTCTTGCAACATGGAAGATTTTTATATAAAGAGAGCTCATGATCGTTCCGGGAAGGAAGAATGTGAGAATTGGACATATAAGACCCCACTGTTTGTTAAAAAACAGAACACAACTTCCCACACAGGAGATCTGCAATATAAGCATCTCTAGTCCAACTGCATTTATCCCTGAAAACACAACAGAAAAACTGTACACAAATGAAAACAGCCATGTAAATGTAGTAAATACAGTCACAATGTTGCTTGTGACCCTCATTTTGTATCTTAAAGGATCACAAATGGCCCAGTACCTGTCAATAGATATTAGACTGAGATGCAGTATAGAAGAGATACAGAAGGTCATGTCTAAACTAAAATGCATTTTACACACAAAATCTCCCAGATACCAGCAGCCTTCAACAGATCGCACCATGCTGTACGGCATGACTAAAGAGCCCAGCAGACAATCACAAGCTGCCAGAGAGCGAACGATCAGATGAGTTGGAGACTGTAGATGTTTGAAGTGAGAGATGGAGATGATGATCAGCAGGTTCCCAAAAACTGTTGTGAGGATCATCAGCACCATGAAAACATACATTGCCACTTTAACTACAGTAAGACGATGCAATTTGGCACAGGAGTCCACCAGGAGTGGATAGCAGAGAAACACATTCTCAGAGTCAGTTTCATTTGACGTCATCACGTCTGCTCCAGATGCTGAGATGATTTTCTTTGTAACCATAAAAAGGCAGACATTTATAAACCAACGTTAAAACAGAATAATTTAGTAAATTTTAGTTTTGGTGAAGATCAATAGCCAGAGAAAAGTGAACATACTACATGCATATCTACTGTAACTCCCTAAATGGACTCAGAGCAACTCAGTTGTGTCCATATATATATATTCTCAGATTCGAGGTAACCCCTGTACACCAGTCCATGTAACCCATAGTTACAAATACAACATGAACTCAGGAGATTGAGGGTTTTTATCTGGGGGATGCCGATGTCGAGGCAGCCAATGGCCGATATATGATGCCGAATTTTTTAGCCGATATGTTTGGCCGAATGTCCTTATTTTTTTTCTCTTTTTTTATCTCATAAAATCTAACAGTCATTAAAGGTGCATAGCGCAGGTTTCTGAGTTTTTACAGAACTATGCCCCCTCTGGCGACAAGCGAAACTGCAACCAGAGATGTGCACGCTCATGGATCACACGCACACGCACATGCACGCTTGCACGAGTACGAGCTGTTCATAACCAAAAGAGCATCAGCCGCACAAATCTTTTGTTGATAGTCATAATGTCTTCAGAGGTAATAAAGTTATAAATCTGCAAGTCATTTTAAATATATGAAAGGAAAGGCATTTGAGTAAATTACACACTTATGTGTGAGGGGAAAACGGGGGTAGTAGAAAAGTTCGGTTTTTGTTTCCATCTATCTCCATGTATGTTGAACTGTTTTATGTGTTTACTGTATCCACTTGAGTGTATTATTATGGAAACACGTTCATGAACAATATAAGTTATTACTTTGTAAAAGCTCAAAATAATAATCATAACATACACAGTTGGTCAACAAAGTACACTCAAATGTCTCACGGTAATAAACAATCAAATGGCACTATGACGTTACTGTAAAAGCCAAACAGGCCAATCCGCCGAATTCACATTCCCGGGAACAATTTACTATTTTTTACGAAAAAGAAAATATAGCCAATGCAACGGCGTTCTTCCTTGTTGGTCAAGGACATGAGCACCTTATCATGTACCTAGCAAAGTACACAAGGCTACCGGCAGGTCATACACAAAAACATAGGTAACTTTAGCATCTTTTATGGGATATGTTTTATGTTGTACTATTCTTCCGAAGACAATTCCTAGTTTATGAACCTGTTCACTGAAAATGGTAGTAAAACCAAATCTGATTGTACATTTATCTAGCTTACGCTAAAGCATTACACATTTTACGCATCGTCATTTGTTGTCATAGATTTTCCGTATAACAGACATTATAAAGACTGGGCTATATCTTACCGTTTTATCAAGAAAAAAGCCAACTGAGGATCCCGTTTGAGATCAAGAGCAGACCGGAGATCTCTCCATTTGTTGAATGCTTTCCCGAGGTTGACTCTCGTCTTATTCCGACGCCTGTCTGACTCCAATTTGGACCTTTTGTTGGCACTAGACAAAATTTTTCTTTTCTTTGCTTTATGTGGAGTTTGCGTTGGGGTTTGGAATGGACTACAAGCCGGTCTCTTTGAATCCCATCTTCTACCTTTGATGCACGAGTTGTCTTCGCTGATGCGGAGAATGGCGGCGCCGGCGAATACACAAACCTGCGAGACAGCCTGGTGAGCATGACGTCACGCCCAGTCTCAAATTCGAGCCGGAATCCCTCTTATATATTTTACTGTACATGATTATAGAGGCAATCTCAGTGCGCAGAGAAGGGCTCATTCAGCCCATCAGGCAGTTCTTTAAGGATGTATAGGATAGAAAAACAGGTATTTTTAACATGAAAAGTTGCGCAATGCACCTTTAAGAACTGATACAGACTTTGCTTAAATTAAACATTTATAGAACAACACAAGCCTCTCTTAATAAGCCTAGCACTTAATAATAAATTATCTATAGCCTACGTTAAATATTAAATACACAAAACAAGTCATCAAAAATGTAGACTGTTTTTTAGATAAAAAAAAAAGTTTTACTGCACAAAAACTTACTTAAAATAAACTATATAAGAAGTTATAAGTAATAACTTACTTGTAGGTTTAAAATTCCACATATGGTACATTTATTGTTCAACAAAAAATATTTTAGCAATATGTATATTTTTTGTTAGTATTATTGCCTCCTATTGCCTATTTTTGGGGGGGCAGTAGGTCCCGCAAGGGGACCATGGAGGCCACGCTGCCATGGTCTCCTGAACTGCCGGCTCCGCCGTGGCCGCCCGAAGGGTCGCCTACTCCGCCCTGGTCGCTTGCACAGCCTGGTCCGCCCACGCTCCACGGCCCAGGCCCCTCTACGGGCCTGGCCCTCCATCCCTCCCCTGGGACCGCCTCCGCTTCACCACCCTACTGAACTATTGTGGTTTTGTTTTGATGGGCGTCGGGAGCCGCTCATAGAGGAGGGGCTATGTCACGGTGTGGGTTTTGTGTCTTGTTCCTTGTTCTTGTCCGTCATGTGATTCCCTGTTTGTCATGTGGTCCTGTCATGTGTTCCTTGTCTTGTAATTAGTCAGTGTATTTAAGCCCTCTTGTTTGGCCTGTGTCTTTGTCATGCATTGTATGTTTCTAGTCTTGACTGTTTCCTGCCGTAGTTCTTGTTTCATGCCTTACCATGCCCTTGTTTTATGTTTGTTTATGTTTTGAGAGTAAAGTTTGCATTTGGGTCCTCACCAGCTTGCCTCCAGTGGTTGATTTCATTACAACAGCTTTTCAACATGATTCTGTCCAGTATTCACAGGAATCAGCTGCAGTGGTTGAGGTTCAAGTTTTCCCTGGTGTCTGCGTGCAATAAGTGGGCGGGCACAGGCCAGCTGACAGTCTTGCCTGGGCCCGGGACAAGATAATCTTAGATTATTTCACTATGATACTGCAGTTTGCCTTTGTGTGGCATGAGTCAGGTTTTAGAGCATACTGTATATGTATATAGCTCATATTTCATTTATTGATATATATTGATTCCCTGAATGATTAAACTTAAACTGTTTGTAATTACATGTGAAGACCTATCCCAAACTGAAATAAAACCAATACGTCAATGATTGCCATAAAAAAACAGCACTTTTGTGATACAATTAAAATATATTAATCTAATAATGCGTGTTTTTTGTTTGTTTGTTTTTTGAAAAATATGATTATAATGCCAAAGGGGATGGAAAGTCACAGCTTAGCAGAAAGAATGAAGATGGAGAAAACGGTAAAAAAAAAAAAAAAAAAAAACGGGGGTTTACATAATATGGCACATAATTTTAATAGTTTGGTTATAATTAACATATACTGTACTTTTGACGACTATAAGCAGCTGCTGCAGCTGTGTGCAAAGGTTTTGGTGATTTATGATTTATGATATAAGCAAGTAATTATGATCACTTGCTACACTTACTGCTATATGTTATTGTATGGCCATGTAAGTATACGCAGTAATGCAAAGGCAAAGCGCAGTATAGCCTATAAAACTACCAAATTTTTGTAGACTGTCAAAGACTGTCAAAAAACGAAACGTTTAATATTCACCTCCCTTTGATCTATCTAATTGTACCCTTTGTTGTTAAATTTAATTGGATGCTTATATTTGGTGTAAGAAAAACACAAAAAGCTGTTTTTCTCAGTTTGGAGTTTTTGCTGATACTGCTCTTAGCCTTTGTAGGGCAGTCTTCCTCTCCTCTGCTCTTCCTCTCCTGTTCCCCCCCTCTGCTCTTCCTCTCCCCTCCTCTGCTCTTGTTGACAGTGACGCATTTCAGCCGGCTTTTTATTTCTCATCTCCATAAATATATCTAGTAGTAAAGCTAATGCAAGGGCTAGAAATCAATGAATTCTTTGCTAATACTTCGTCGTCATCATGGAGAGCGCAGTTCGCACCGCTTTCTCCTTTCCACAAGCGCTTGCTCTCCCGTGGCGTCTGTAGTTGCTATGCAACAATGAACTTAGGCGCGCCTGTAAAAACGAATGCGCCGCGTCGCTATTATGAGCTAATATCCAAAATATTTCCATATGTGGCTCTTTCCTCCTTTCTTATCAACAAGTGGATTTACAGCCACCACATCAGCAGCACCGCCGGTCGCCATGTCTCAGTGCTTTTATGAAGAGGACGCAACTGCACGCGCTTCGGGCATGCACCCGCATCAAGTACCGGGTTTGAGAAAACCTGGTACCGTGGCGTGACGTTTAAAAAAAAATTTGTACCGACTTGGTACCGAAGTACCGGGTCTCTTGGCGCTTTTCCATTACCAGTACCAGCTCGACTCAACTCGACTCGCCTTGGCTCGCCTCGGCTCGCCTCGACTCGGCTCGCTTTTCGCTCCGTTTTCCATTGCAGAAAGTACTGCCACAAATAGTAGTCGGTCGTCATTGCGACGCCTTTCGTTCCTCGTTGCCCCATCAAGCTCTTGCTGGATCCTCTCTTCGGCAACCAAACAAAGGAATGTCTGCACCTCCTCGTTTGACCACGGCGTATTCTTCCGAGTTGCCATAATAATAGTAGTAAGTTTAGTAACTATCTCTGGCCAAACTATTTAAAAATGGCGGGGTTATTCTGGATACTCCATCTGGCGCGTGCAATGATGACGCAGTGAATAGTGACGATTCTCTCTGACCAATCAGCAGTCGGCATTGTTTTCAAGTCACATTTTAGTATCGCCTTAGCTCGCCTCAGCTCGCTTAGAACCTTGCCGGAGGTGGTACGAAAAAAAGTACCCGAAAGCAGGTACAGGTACAACTTTTACACAGTGGAAAACCAAACAAAGTCGAGTCGAGTCGAGCCGAGCTGGTACTGTGTAGTGGAAAAGCGCCATCTGACAACACTCATAAACGTTGGCTGCGCTGTTTCTTACCTTGCTCTACGTTGACTTTACTAACGTTAGTTCCAGCTTCACCGTCACCACCTTTTTTAAAATATTTGTTTAGGACATCTCGAAGGCCTCTATTTTCTTCTCTTTTCTTTTCTGAGCACCGGACTTGTGCTGACCGGACACTTTGAGCGTAACGTTAGCCTACTGAACTTCAAATCAAATG